TTTTCTACCTGCTTATGATGTACTGATGGACTTTATTGCAGGTATGCAATTCCAGTATGAGCCCCACCACAGGACCAAGCTCCCTCTGCTCCGTGCAAATGAGGAGCTGATTGAGACGCTGGAAGACAACCAGGTCCAGCTGCAGAACCTTATGTCATCCAAGTATATCGCACACTTCCTGGATGAAGTATCTTCATGGCAAAGCAAGCTATCTGTGGTCGACTCCGTCATCTCCATCTGGTTTGTGGTTCAGCGGACTTGGAGTCACCTGGAAAGCATCTTCCTTGGCTCTGAGGACATTCGCTCACAGCTGCCTGAGGTTACACACCAAGCACACACACACACACACACACAGTTCATACAGTTCTATATTTCAGGTATCCGTCAGTGTCAAGCTTATATACATGCAAGCCTCAACCTGCGCCCCAGTTGTTGCCATATGAACCTAGGCAGCATAACTGTAATAGCTGTTAATTAAGAATCCATTAATTAGACTTACTTAGTTTAAGAGCTGAGATTACACAACTTTTAATTGCTCCCGTGATGTTCGGGCTGTGCTTAAGCCCAGATGTTTGCTATTAAACCTCTGATTCTCCCTCTTTCTTGTGGGAATCAACGCCTGCCGGGCTCCCTCATGAAATCCTCTGCAGGACTCCAGGCGCTTTGAGGGGATTGATGCCGATTTCAAAGAGCTGGCGAACGCTATGCACGAGACGCCCAACGTAGTGGAGGCCACCAACAAACCAGGCCTGTTTTGTAAACTGGAGGACATCCAGAGCAGGTGAAAGTTCAGCCAAGATCAGCGGCTCTCTGTTTCTTCCCCATACGTCTCACACAAACACACTCACACACACTGACTCTGCATGTGCTGTGCTATTTCTACAGGCTTTCTCTGTGTGAAAAGGCTCTGGCAGAATACCTGGACACCAAGCGTCTGGCCTTTCCCAGATTTTACTTCATCTCTTCAGCTGATCTGCTGGACATCCTGTCTAATGGGACCAACCCACACCAGGTGGTTTCACAAATTTATGCCCAAGGGATGGCAGTGAATTTAACGCTTCAGTCTGTTCACACAGATGATAAAAAACAGTACTAATGTTTTCAGCTCTTTCTACAATTTACTTCACTAACAGTTTTCTAAAACTATGCTCCATCGTGTCATTAGGCTTTTGACTCACTGCTGCTGAATTTTGTAGTACATTTAGTGCCCACACAGGGGCAATGGTGCTTATAGTTTTGTATGTTACTCCGACCTCCATCATGAGTGCACTGTTTTTTTTTTTTGTGTCCTCAGAAAAATAAATAACTGTTAAAAACAACTCGCCATCAAAATCTCTTTCATCAGCAGCTAGCAGAGGTGTAGCAGGACACTGGTCCTGAAAAGCAACACTGTAACGTTTCAAAGCGTGAGTGTAAATTGATCCTGTGCGTTTGCTCAGGTCCAGAAGCATCTGTCCAAGCTGTTTGACAACATGGCTAAGATGCGATTTGAAACAGATGGAGAGGGGAATCCTTCGAAGATTGGTCAAGGCATGTACAGCAAGGAGGAAGAGTATGTCCCTTTCAATCAGGCCTGTGACTGCAGTGGACAGGTAAAAGGAGCCTCGGATGTCATCATTTCTAGATGGATCCGAATGCTGAAGACGTTAATGGTGTTTATCTTTGTGACTTACTGCTGACATTGACAATTTTTCGAACCAGTCCCTTTCTGTAATGATAGGAAATACACACACACACACACACACACACACACACACACACTCACACTCACACATTTAAAAAAATATATATAGAAAGAATCTGTTTTGCCCCTGGAGGTTTTGCATTTAAAGCTCATCAATTCATTCATTTTCCATTATATCCCGTAGTGTTTGCCTGACTCCACTTCCACTTTAATGCTTATTAATGGCCTCATTAGGGTCCACTGATAAGAGAGGACATCGGCGCTCATGTGACACACATTGCAATATTTTTTTGGTTTTTGTATTCAGGGATTTGCCTGTTTTTGTGTTTTTTCTGTAAGGTGGAGATGTGGTTAAACCGGGTGCTCGACACAATGCGCTCCACAGTTCGCCACGAGATGACCGAGGCAGTAATAGCCTATGAGGAAAAGCCTCGGGAGCAGTGGCTGTTTGACTATTCAGCTCAGGTAAATAGGTTCGGTTTGATGTACGAT